CTTAGGGTCACTATGTAAAGCTAAGGCTAATTATAAAATCGGGGTGTTTGGGTTAAATCAGGAATTAACTAAAGTCTAATAATTAATAATAGGACACCGGTATGTATTTTGTCAACTTAAGGGATTCAGTAAGTCATTGGCATTTGTTTTTAGTATTAAAACACGGCTTCGGTGAAACTATTCATTTAAAAACCCTCGTCTCAAACTTTTGTTCTATTGAATCAGATCATATCAGTTAAGCTCGAAATGAGGGATTCTGCTATTTCATTTAAAACTCAAAAGTATTTTTTGAAAACAAATAAGGTCTAATTAACTTTAAAGAGCTTCCGCTGTTTTTAAAATCAATGTTTTATTAACCACTATTTGGTTAAAACCTCAAACTTCCGCTTTGTTGATTTTAACCTTAGACTGTCTCTTACTTCCGTACAAAAACAATTAAATATTCGATTGGAAATTAAAACAAGAAAAGTTTTTTTTTCTAAAAATAATAACGCCAATTAATTACTGAATCCTTTCGGTCAACCTCTACATACCGGTATCAGAGAATCTAGCCAGACATAATATTATTGCAGAACATAAAATTTAAACGTAAATTCAACAATGCAATGATGGTAGGAAATAAATAAATTATGCTTATTAAAATAAAAACCTGAAAGTGAATAACAAAGCGATTAATTCCAAACAACGTGTGTCCTCCACTAGCCGGCGGGATTGACTTGTAGTAAAAATAACTTGAATTAAATTTAAGTAATCCTAAGCAAATTCTGGAAGTCTGGAAACAAACTAGTGTTGCAGTATTTCTCCGATGTGGAAAAATACTGCTTCGATGATGGGATTTTTCTTGCTTACGGAATACTACAAAAAGTGGAAAAGTAATGCTGGAAATCTAACTGGAAAATATCAAACGGAATACAATAAATTAATTCTGAACAGGGAAAGTAATATTGAAAATAATAATACTGAGTAACTGTTCAAAGTACCAGAGAGAAATCGAGCGTGAGGGAGAGCGGAGAGCCTCAATTTTTTGGTAACTTCTTCCATATATAGAGTCCATCTAGTTGAGGAAAAATAGGTAACTTCCCATGATTCTCGTTCCTAGAGCGTGGAGAAAATCCAGGTGAACATGCGTTTAGTATGCTTCAGTGGCGAAAGGTTCGTAACTGCTTGGATCATGGCGAGCGTGGTGTGTATCGTGACGTGGGGCATATAATGAACATATGTCTCGGTCGTAACATGAGACGTGTCAAGGGGCACATGAATCAAACTTGTCCCGGTCGTAACATCTTGTGGCGGGCGGCACACTTCTGTTTACAGAAATGCTGCATTTTGCTGTTTTATAGTCATTTCTTCTTCATTTTTCCATTATTTTTCTTCCTTTTCTTATTTATGTCTTGCAAATGCTAAGTACCTGAAATATGTTTCAAAAACTACAAAAAGGGATAAAATGTTACATAATAATCGAAGAATCGGAAATTTAATCTATGTAATTCGGGCGGAAAATGTTATATATTTTCGTGTTATCAAGAACCTTGCGTTGAACTGTTTAAGAACCTCTACTCTAATCTTGCTGGACATATCTAGACGAGTTCTCCTGAGTTTTTGCCTAACTGGAGAAAACCTTTCTTTGAGAGGTAGCTTATGCACCACAATGTCTGTATCTAATCCCGACATGTCCCTGTAGGACCAGGAAATTATACCCATGTACTCATGCAATAGCTTGATCAACCTTTCTTTGACGCTCTACTCTAACATTGCCCCTAGCTTGATTTCTTTCAGATCTTCCTCTGTGCCTAGATTAATGGTCTCAATGGCCTCTTGATAGGGTTGTATGTTGTTGCATTTCGCTCTATTTCCCTCGCCATTTCTTCAGAAAGTTCAAGATCTTTATCACCTTTCTCTTCAGCTTGGTTGATGGGAGCATCAAAATTATATCGGATTGCAGCAGTAACATTATCGGTGATTTTGGGCATGACTCTGCACGTTTATCATGTTTTGGTGCAGATTTTAGTATATGAATTTTGAAGATGCATATGAAGAGAAGGTATTTCCATTTTTAAATTTTAAGAGATAAATGCAAGAGAAAGACAATAATCTTAATTGAAAATAAAATATAAATTTTTATTAATTGTAATATTGTCTGAAACAAAAATAGGGGGAACCCTTACAAGCAATCCCTATGCCTCAGACTTGACATATGTTCTTTTTAAAAACGAGAAAAATTACTTAGGAAAGAAAAATATCTCGAGAATCTCCACGGTTGTCCAACACTTGAGTTATTCTCCTAGGGCGCATTCTCGGATGAACTCAGTTGCTCTTTTGGTGTTGACATTGTTGGATATCATTTCCACCTGTCTGCCATGCTCTATTCCCTTGTTGATAAAGATCTCTTGGGTTGAAGGATATCGTGCTTTACCCTTCAGAGTAGCTTTTGATAGTTCATAGTCCAAACCGAAGTGATTCTTCTTCTTAGGAATTTTTGGGAGCTTTCCCCAACCTTTTGAGGTACCACTTTCCATTGTTGTTTGCAAATCTCTCCACAAAGTTACCTTGGGCTTATCTTTCTTCTTTACCGGTAAAGTCACCATTGAAGCAACTTCCAGGACATGGAATAGGGTGGCTATACAATATTCGTCGGTACTAACATACCTGTATGATTCAATGTGACTTAGGAAGATGTCCTCCTTGTAGCGGTAGAAATGTTGAGACTAAGCCATTGGATTGACTTAACTCGCACATATCGAAATAAAAATCACCATCGTACTTTATTGTTTCCAAAGAAATTAGAAAAGAGCAAATAACCCAAAAAGAGGGGAAGAGAATCTAAATTCGGGGTTGGTTATGCAAAGGGAAGATATTATCACCCTGAACATCTACGGTACTCCGTAGGAACCTCTTTGTAAACCTGTGTATTTTGGCTATAGATTTTTGTATAAAAATAGATTGTGAAGATGAGAAAAGAAGTATTTTTTTATAATTTTTGCATCTGTCGCGGTTGCAAACCTTTAGTGCATACGTTCCATCTTCCGTGCAATAGGGGATCAGGGTACACGTAGTTCACCTTTTAAAAAATTTTAAACAAAAGTGTGTTGGTTAATTTTAAGAGACAAGACATCATCGTCTTATCCGAGTGGAAGAACATACTTACTATCCACAATTATGAGAAAGGAGAATTTGCATCATCTCAAAGTGGAGGATATAACTTGGATTTTAAAATCAACAAGAGCCTCACTCAACACCCAAGTGTAAAATATCTCACATCATTATATATCATAGAAGTATAGTAGCTCGCATCACTACAAAGATTGACAAGAGTCTGATCTTTTAAGAAAATTTTTAAAGTAAAAAGCCAAAATAGAAAAATGGTTTGAATAAGATTGATTGACTTTTAGTCTTCTCACAAAAATGTCAAGGTATTATTAAGTTGATTAAAGTTTGATTAAGAAAATATTTTTTTGAAAATGTATGGACATAAGTCCAAGTTTATTATGAAAGTGGTTCAAGTTTTAAAACAAGAAGAGTTTTCAAAAGAAGGATGAGAGGAAATGAAGTGATTATCCTAAAGAATAAGGTATGAGCTAGAGAAAAGAACCGTCTAACTAACAAGAAGCTCCACCGGTGATCAACCAAGTTAATCCTCTAGCACTTAACATCACAAATCAACATGCTATCGTAAAATCAAGGCAAGAATAACAACAAGAATTAATCATGAAATATGAAGAAAAATAAAGACAAACTCTCAATTAAATTCTAAAAGAGAAATTCTAAAATCAACTAGCGTATTCTACTATTTTTTGTATCACAATTTTATGCGATCAAAGTTAATAAAAATAAAAATTAAAGAAATTATCGAAAAGAAATTCAAATAACAAAATAAAGGGATGTGCAAGCTGGATCCGGGGAAGGTTCGAGGAGGTAAACCAAAATCAGGTGCTAGGCCCAACGTCCTGAGCCCAAGAGAGAGTGTTTGTCACATAGCCTTCAAGATCCAAAAAAAGAACAGTCATACTGAGTCACCTGGAGTGTAAAAATGCAAGGCCCAAAGCGGTCCTCCACCCAATCCAACAATCCCAATAATCCAGCCCAAACCTAATCTCAATTCAAAAATGTATTTTCTAAATTTTAGTATTATCATTATATTTAATTAATTAAAAGAAACAAATGAAGAAAGAATGGAAGGACACTGGAACAACGCGTTTTAACGTTTCTCTTTGTTACTCACGGCTCCTTCACGAATTCGTCGCCGATTCGCTCTTTGCCATCATAACGACTCATCTTTCTGCGTCACGTTCGTCACTATCCGCGAATTCGTCTCCGAATTTAGTAAAAATATGAATCTCATAGTGTAAGCGAGGAGGAAGAGGAAGATGCTTACCTACCGGAGCTCGTCCAGTGCGTCTTCGCTATATTGTGACGAAGAGAACAATCAGGTAAATCCTTTGATCTGTTACTTCCTCGATTCATTTCTTCTTCACCTCTTCTTCGATTCTGTTTGCAGCAATTTTGTATGTTCAGTTCAGAATAGGTTTTTGTACCGATGCTGAAGCGTTATTGTTGTTTTTTTCACATTGCAGATTGTTGCTTGGAGATTGACGCGGAAAATGCGGTTATGGAGATGATGAAACAGTGGAAGATTGAAGAGGGAATTTGGTTATAGTGATGCGAGGTCAAAGAAGAGGGAGCTCAGAGAGATGCTCATGAAGACTAAGAAGCTTCATAGAATCGTCGGAACCTCAGAGAAATTCAGAGAGAACTCTGAAACTTCTCTGAGAAGTTTTTGTAGAAATGAAAAAAATCCTCCTCAAGATTGAAACAGAAGCTCATATTTATAGTTGTTGGCTTAGCTTGTCTGAGAATTTTGCTACAGGTAACTCAATCTTGTCCCTTGATTTCAAAAATCTATTATATGAATGAATGGATGAGATGAACTGAGCTGGAACTTCAATTTTAATTTTCTGATTTTTCTTTGGTTTAATACTTCCTCTGATTTTCTCTTTGCCTTGATGAGCTGGTATAAACTTCTTGCGCAAGCTTTTAATTCTTTTCCAAAATTCTGTTTTGCAATTTTCCTAACTGCTTTTGTTCCGTTATTTGTTGAGCTGGAAGTTAATTTTTCACGAATTTGTACTTCTGTTGGGAATTCTTATTCGAAATTATATTTTCAATTTGGGGCGCGTGCATCACTTCTACTAGAGAATTGTGTAGGGGATACTGGAGAGGAATTAACAAACTAAGCCCTCTCTTCATGTTCTCTATAAATGAGAAAAATTCTTGACCCATACTAGCATCTCTCAACTTTCTTTTGTTTCGGTTTCAGTGATTTTCTTTAGATATAATATATTTTTCTGATTTTTTGCTGTCACAATACTTAATGCAGGGCTGATTTTGTGTTGTTTATTCATGGTGTAGGCATTGTCCGTTTGAAAGAAAGAAGATGGATTATGGCATGAGAGTGATAGTTAGGCTTAAGCAAAATGGTCATTGTATTTGGACTTGTGAAGCTTAAATGGAGAATGTAATTTGGATATGTAAAAATTGGATGAATGTTTGATCTTAAATTTGGAATGATGAATATTTTTGTTTTTTTGAAACTTTGGATATTTGAACTTGAACTAATATTGAATAAAAGGAATTGAAATAACATGAATAATTGGACTTTTGGAGATGTTGAATCGGCTACTTTAGGAAGTTGAAGCCTAGATGTTAACCATGGGGCTATTATGTCTTTCATATAATTAGAAAACCTATCCCATAATTTCTTGCCCCTATTATTCATTTCATTACTGTTGTATCTCAAAATTTATCCTTTCACTTATCAATAATTTGCTCACAAGATCTCCTTGGGCTCAAGACTGCACTAGGGTTTAATCAGCTCAAGACACCTCCTTATGCACTGATGACCAAAATTAGGGTTTGAGTTTACACAAGGATTTTTGAACTTCCAATGCCCTATATGACTCTTCCAGCATGTCGGAAGTATACGTAAACAAATCCGAAGGGGAAGGTACGGTGTCGGCACTAAAGGCAAGAGGAGTGCCAAAGCAAGATAAAAGACCGAGAGCCATAGGAAAAACCTCGCCTGGGGGCAACTTTCGTGTTGGATTAACAAAAATCAGACCGAGTAAGATCAAAGAAACTAGCAGACTGATCACGAATGAGAGACAAATAGGTGCAAATTCTGACATGACCAAATAAGTGAATTTATCCAGTTGAGGCATGATTGATTGTTTCTCAATGATTCCCTCCGGACTCTCTTTCTGTCCGAAGTCTTGAAGGAAAAGAAACGATATGTGGTTGTTGACCAACAAAAAAAAATAAATATAGGATTGGAATCGATGACTTAACTAAAGCCCCTTTCCTTTCAAAGAGGAAGAGCATGACTCTTTTTTTGATGCACTGACTTACTGACGGAATATCAAAGAGTCGTCCAAGAGCACTTCGTTAGAATTGCATGTGTTAAGCATATAGCCTAACTAGCATGATTGAGCCCTGCAGTGGTAGAACCTGGTGAACCTGGCGTACGACTTTCCTTGCCAATTCTTCTCTTATGATATTTTTTACATGTGTTGTTTGAAACATCGCAGGAATGGCACGCAGAAAAGGAAAAAGAGGAATTCGGCTTCGAGCAGAGGTTTCGCAGAGGAGGTGAAACTCTTTCTTTCCGCTTTCAATGCCCCAAGTTTCAAGCCTTGGATCACTCTTTTGCTCAGTCAATTGAACAGTTGTCAATTGAACAGTTGACCTAAAAATCAGCTATATTTGGGAAAAAGTCAACTATGACCAATTTACAGTCAAATCTCATAATTTTTAATCCTCATAATTTTTAATCCTCATAATTTTTAATCCACATCAACATTTTAAACTCATATGTATCAGTTGATCAAGTTTGGACCACAATTCCTCAAGAAATTTGATCAAATCTCCAAAAGGACAAAATGGTCAAAATTAGGGTTTTGATTGGGAAAGGGCAATTTTTGATTTTTGACCTAGAAAATGGTCAATTGATTTAAGGCATGATCTCAAGAGTCCAATTGCATCATTTTAACCTAATGACATGATTCAAAACATTAAAAATCCATCGGATCAAAAGTCAACCGTATATTGAAAAGTCAAACTTTGACTTTTTGGTCAAATTCAAGTGTCAAAGATCATAATTCATCAAAACATGTCAAAATATGAAACTTATTCATCAAGAAATCAAAAAGTCAAGATTTCATTTTGAAAAGTCAAAATTTCTAAACTTAGAAATTTTTCTAAGTGTTGGAAATTTCATGTTTTTTCATAACTTTGAGCCAAATTTTCACCATGAGGCAAAATGATTCAAGAGAAACTTCCAACATGAAAGTTGTAGATCTCCATGATATCTACAACTTTTCTGCACACAACTTCTTCCAAAGTTTCTTGGATCTCAAGTTATAATTTCAAGAACATATGGTCATGAAACTAAACACTTAGTGAAATTTTGCCCTAATTTGGCCAAGATTTTGACCTAACTTCATGGCACTTTTTCATATAGTTACAAGGGGAATATTAAAAAGAAATTCAAATATGGGTTGTAGAGAACATTGCAAGCTTTCAAAAATGTCTAAGAACTCCTTGAGATCATTTTTGAGTAGTGAGAATCGAAGAGATGAAGTTGGTGTTTTGTCACTTGAATTACAAGTCATTCTTGATGAACACATGAATCAAATCAATGTTAGGCTGCATAGTATTTGCTTTGAAGGCCTAAAACTTGTTTGTCACTCCATAATTAATGGATTACACAAACTTTTGAGCTATAATCCAAGTGATTTAAGCTTTATCCAATTCACATTGCCATTTTGGGAAGAAAGTTAACAATACCATTCTTGAAAAGCAAGCTTTATGCATAAAGTATATTCTTGAGCCTCTAACTTGTTCCCTCTGATCACACTTCATCTACAAATTCATAAGCAAGTGTGTTTAAAGCATAACCATTTTATCTTAGCAAGTACACAAGACTTTGAAACTTGTTTTGTCAAAAAAATCACATGTTTAGCTTAAGGATGCAAATTTGAATTTCGATCAACTAGAGCATCCCAAACTTGTTGCTTATAAATAGAGTCACTATTTGTGAGCTAGGACACGAGATGGAAGACCCTTAAACTCACTCAAACTCCCTCTAGCCAGAAATTGTCTCAAAAGACCATTGTTGTGCAAATTCTGACTTTACATACCAAACTCCAAATCCCCTCGTGCGTTCTTTGGCCTTTCACTTCCAAAAGCTTCTAAACATCAAATACAAACCATCCAAAGTCCATTTGCTCAACTGTAACACCTCCATCATCAAGTTCTATTTTCAAAAATAGGGGTCTGCAACTTGACTTCTCCAGAGCTCCTCATCCACTTTCAGCTCAAGCTAATCATTGCATTAGCTTCCTGGGGCCTCAAGGAAGCTAACTTGATCCTTGCAACACTTTGAATCAAGCTCATTTGCATTTCACGATTTCCAGTTTTGAGGTATTTCACTTGAACTTCTATCTCATCAGTTAAGCATCATTAATGTTTACTTTGTGAAGGAAAAATATAGACATCATTGCCACGAAGCTGTACATATCCATAGTTTGCATTTACATGACCTGAGCTTAGAGAATTTTAGAGTTGAAGTTTCTGAAATTTTTAGGGTTCAAATTAGGGCCAGAGAAATTCTCATTTATCTTTGACTTTTATCTTTATTTATTTACATGGTTAGATTCGTGAGGAAGAATGCAACAACTTTTATTTTGTCATCTTCTATTTTTGTTGAGAAATGAAGAAGTTGCAGACACACTGGCTGGAGGTTGAAGATGAAGTCATCAGGATTTGATTTTCCTTACATATTTATTGTTTTGTTTATATAAACAGATGTATAGCCACCCCAGTGGTAAAGCGCGTGCCTGTTAACCTATGGGACCCGGGTTCGAGCTCAGTGGTACCCTTTTACATTTTTTTTTACACATTTTGACATTTTCTGACTTTTTGAGCGCCTGAGCCTCATTGGGCTTGCTTTTTTTTTTTGCTGACTAACCCCCTGCAGGCTATTGGCACCCCTGACCCAAGTTTATTTATTTCTTTTTTTTATTTCATTTTTATTTTCTTAAATATATTTTCTAAATACTAAAAAATCATAAAATACAAAAAAAAATGCTAGATTTATATTTTGACTTAATTTATTTTATTTTTCTCACAAAAAAATATTTTTTAATTATAATTTATTTATTTTTTACTTATTATCTTGTAAATATAATTAAAACTAGGTTATTAGTTATTTTCTTTCATACTAATTAAAATATGTTATTTTCGATATAAAAAAAAAGACTAAAAATATTTTATGATGCCATAAATATTTTTAAGACGAAAATACTTTTTTTCTAAACTTATTTTCATTAATCAATAGAACTAGGGTTTTATTTAAAAATTTTTTTTAAATAAATTCAAGTTTAATTAATTAGGTTAAAATGATTTCCCTTTTTCTCATAAAAATCCAAAATACCCATTTTCTTAACAATTACATTTCTTGTATATTTATTTCATCTTGTACATTTAAATCTTTGCACATCAATACCTATTCAATATGGTTGTAATAGACTAACCAGGTTTATATTTTTTTCAATCCCCATTTCAATTTGTACACCCCCTCCCCACAAATATTGTAATAGCGCAGTAATTTTAAATTCCACAATTTATCGTTTTATATACAAATGCTAGTAATTAGGGTTTTGTATGGAAAGATTAAAACCAAACAAATAGCAAACCCTAATCAAAGACAAATCAATGCATGTAAATCAACACATTTGCATACATACACTAGATTAAACCCACTTTGTTGCCTTACAAAAATGGCCACATTACACAAGTGAGATATCTTAGCAAAATAAGCAAAAATACAAGATCATAGTCCCTCGATGATGCTATCTAAGTTGCCTTACAAATGATCTTAGTCCCTCAAAAAGAATGCTAAGATACCTTGCAATATTGCTAATCATGGTTATACGATGACTCGTGCCCGTCCCGTTTACATCCAAAGATAGGGTTGCTTACCAAATCAATGGTAAGACAACAATGTCAAAGGAAAAGAAAATGAACAAGAAAGACATTTGAGTAGGTAGATTGCTCCTAATTACTTGCTCCATTTCAAAACAAAACATCCTTGCTATTTTCAAAAACAAACACATACAGTTTCAAACATCTTACAAAATTGAAAACATTTTCAAAAGATCAAATATCTTTGTATACATTCTTATGAACGAGAATCATTACAAAGATTACCTAAACAATGGCCTCTTTACAAAATACTTTCAAAAACCACACAAAGCACAAATTCAAACAAAAGCAAGTGATCTAGCAAGTAACTAAGAGCCCATGGAAAACCATGGATGAAAAGGGTGCTAATACCTTCCCTTTTCATAGTCTACCCCCCGAAATCAAGAAACAATCTCAAAGGTCTTTCCTGTGCTTTTTCACCTTTCCTTTTGGATAAAAGAAAAGTCGGTGGCGACTCTTGCTAACCGCAACATTTGCGATCAAACGCAAAACCTTCAAGTCAGTTCTCCCACCGTATCACAGAACTGGCGACTCTGCTGGGGAAAATTATAAAAGTGGGGTTACCTTAGGGATAAATCACATTTATTTGCTTACATTGTTTGA